TCTGTCACTCTTTCAGAATCGCCTCTTCCTTGGCAGTAAACAAGATCGTTTAACTGCACTGGAAAAGCATGAGCACTTTTTTAGATAAGCGAGAATAAATAAACTAGCTATTCGCGAGTGTTTTCCAAATGTATTGACCTTATCGAGTGTCCAATGATCGTGGGAAATTGTGGCAATAAAACTGGTCTCGCAATCTCGAACAAACGTGTTGAAGCGCGATAATACATTGAATTTCATTCATATTAAATTAAGCATGTTTTATTTATTACTTACTTTACCTATTACTACCAAATAATATGATAAAATAATTAAAGAGTTAAATATAGATATGTAGTTACTAACCACATTATGACCACATTATTTCTTTCCCTTATTTTCATTTGAATAATAAATAATCATAGAAGACTAACGTAAGACAGCATTTTTTTCGATTTGAATGAGATATAGAAGCACTTGGTATATATGATAGACCGTTATTTCATCTCGATCAACTTATCTTCATTATCAGAGCAAGAAAGATGTTACAGTATCATTTTGAAAACAGGCCTTACGGGATGTTTATATAATGTATATTAAAATGATTATGAAGTTTGAAATGAAATCAACATCAATACAGAAATAAAAATAAATATTTATAATAAACAAAAAAATTAAAAAGAAATAGTACATAAAATCATATTTTATTATTCCATCAAAGTAGCCCATAATATAAATCATTCCATAAAGGTTCTAAAATGTGGAATAGTATTTTGAATGCTATTAAGAAAATTGATTATGTTTGATTAAATTAAAAAATGAAATCAATCAATCAAATTTAACAATGAAATATAAAAATTATGTCCAAACAGATGAAATGTAATTTTTAAATTATAATTCATTAACTATCTATTCTGGATTAGCCATATGCGGCTGTTGTAATGATGCTGACATATAAAATTTATACATTATATAAATATCAAATAAAAATATGGTTGCTATTTAATTGTGAATCCAATTTTAAATACTTAATATATTATATACTGATTTAACAAGAAACGAATTAATACAATTCAAATAGGGAAAAGTGAGAATCAATATTAAAAGTAAGTTATCAAAACTATAAAAATACCAAAAAAATATTTTCTTAATTTTTAAAAATAATAGAAATATTAAAACATTAATTGTCATATATCATAAAATATGATACGTTTCAACCAAAATTATTTTTCAAAACTTCACTGCTCATTAAAATTAAGTATTACATATATAATAGATTAAAACAAATAAAATTTTTATTTACGTCATTAAAAATAGCAGAAGGTATGACATCTGCAATGCGCATTTTACGAGATTTTTCACAATCCATCGTTTTTTCATCTTTACAACAACTTTTTGGAACAATGAAAATTGTTCCTTGATTTACAGTTAATAAAATTTCAGAATTACTGCCTTTATTTGAATATTTACTGCCAGCCCAATCATTTGATCCATTTGCTCCACAGCAATGAAGTTGTTGTTGAAAAATATCTACTATTTTTGTTCTAGAAGAAATTACACCGTATTCATTCTGAAAAAAGCATTTAAGTAATATACTAAAATAACAAAATTAATAGATACAAAATTAAATATTACATTTAAATAATAAAATAAAATATTATTAGTAAAATTTATTCATTAAAACCAATAAAGTATGTTATTACATTACATTATTATTAAAGACATTATTTAATTTCCAAACTTATTTTTGCATAAATCATAAATAACTAGAACAATATAACGATGGTAATATGATTGATAATAATATTATTTAAATATAACAGATTAACTCTTTAATTTTTAAGATATTCTACACATTACCATGAACACTCATACAAAATTCATTCAGAAATTTATCTTAGAATTATTAAATATTCTATAAATGTTTTATTTTTGTAATTTTTAAAATTAATTTAACTCCAACTCTTAATATTTTCTGATATCATTTTTACAGAGTATAATTTATCTATTTATCTATAAGATTAAATAAGAATATTCTTATAGTACATACAAATCAGATATAATTAAAAATTATAGTTTAAAATATGAATTTTTATTTTAAAATTTCGATTTTTTTGTAAAATATTTTTGACCAATGCAACGTATATATTAAGTATTACTGAAAATCCGATAACATCCTGCATTTTGTAAATAGTTTGTGTGAATAATAATGCTAAATAGAGAGAAAGAGAGATCTATTGAAGTTTAGTACGTGAATATAAAAATTGAAGAATTAATAAATAACTAAAGAATTATTCATTTTTAATTATGAATAACATTTTCTTTGTGGTTAGAAATATGTGCATTAAATTTTTGAAGTATCATTGTGATTAAAAAATTTTTTATTTTGAAATATTATATTAACAATAAATAATAATAAATTTTGTAAAATTAAATTTCATGTGCATAAAATGTTTAATCTACGTTAATATTTATAGCCTTTATCACTTAATGTTTCTTTATTCAGTTTAGTTTAGTATAAGTAGTTATAGAAGAAAAGACGAAGAAAAGATACATTACAATATAGAAATATACGATTTGATACACGTAAAAATAAAAGCTACACAAAGTGAGAATGTTAAATTAAAGCAAAGAAATCTAAAGAAATATTATTAAGAATAAACATGAAATTATAAAAAATAGTATGGAAAAATTATTGGTTAAGTACGTAAATATAGTAAAACATCAAATGAAATCATTTTCTGTTTTATAGCAATAACTATTGTGTATGCGAATATGTAATAGTATATGTTAACATCAAAGTTGAGCGAATTACTGATGCATATAATAAATTTCTGTAAATATCACAATAAGGTTACTTTCATACATATTTGAATATAGATCTTTTATACATTTGTAAAGGAGATTTTAACTTTTTATTTGAGTAGGTTTGGATGAAAAATATTTTAATTAAAATTTACGAATTTCTCCTTAAATCAAAATTTTTAGAATTGTACAGATGATTTGCTATATCTATTCTTTTTGTGCCTTTAAATTGATTTATAAATAGAATTTGCTATTTTATAATACAAATAATTTTATCAGATATGGAATTAATAATGATAATATTATACTGTTGTTTGTTAATGACGCTAATTCATTGTTCAAAAGCGTAAATGGATATATATATGTTTAGAATTAACTAAAAGACCACAAGATGTTGTGTGGAAAAAATGCGTGGGCAAGTGGAAGGGATAGCGTATTAATTCAATATTTAATACATCTGTTTGTCATGATGTTTATTCTGTTTATTTTTCAAATACAAGAAAGATTCTTGTTGATAAAGTCAATAGATGAACTCTTGTAGTTACGAGGCGGTAATATGCACTTCGTTCATAGATAGGAGGTTGTATGTTTCCTGATCCTCGTGACGTGGTACCCTTGATAGCAGGTTAATCTGATAAAGGAGAGGTTGTAATGCTCTACCACTTTTTCGATTAGTGCCGCGTGGTGAATCTACTACCGCTTCGTGCGATTGGGGCACGATCGGGATTCTCGTTCGTTTGAATTAGTGGATCTGTAGTGTGCGCTGAATGGCCCGTAGGATTAACTTGCCTTGGTTATGTCGTAAGAGCGAGCTGTAATTCTTGCCCTTTTGGTATCACGGGGGCTATCGTACAAGCGGCAAATTTCTCTGAAAATCTGAGTCGTGAGCTAAAGTACGAGCTCTAGCCTTATCCTTTTCCTGTCTCCTGCTCTCGGAAACGAGTTCTAATTAGAGGTTAGGATTGACACAGTATGACACTGAATGGCGCAAAATAGGCTTCATGTGTGTTACACACGAGCAATAATATCTTTGGATATAGGTTGTGGAATTAGTAGGATAATGTTGCGTATATCTTTGAATTGGCCTTGAACCTTGAATTATGCTTGGTAACCTGGCTACTGGAGAGATCATGTGGGAGCTGGTGACGAAGAACCTTGGATCGATAAGATTACTTACAAAGACTTGTCTTCGGACTCGGTTGAGATAACTTTTCTTTCCCTTTCTCCTTGAGGACTTCAACGTGAGTGATTGAATCTTATAGTAGTCCCTCTTAAGTAGTTCACTGACCATGGTGTCCACTTGGGATCCCTTCCCTTTTCTTGTATTCAATCGGAAAGCAGTGCCTCTTGCGGCATAGGTTTTAATCAAGCTCAGTATTTTTTTGGCCCTCGAGCCAAGAATAGCTCCGGATTTCATTGCCACCGACGACGTTGGCGGACAGATGGCAGACTTAACAAAAAGGGGATAGGGCGAATGTATGCCGGTAGGTCTTAACGTTTGGGTGAAGCGACTGTCTCAAGATGCCTAATGTCTGGGTTTTCCAGATGTTTTATTAGCAGGAGGTTTCAGAAGTCTAAAGACTGTTTAATAATGTTTGGGTTTGCCAGATGTTTAACAACGTGGAAAAGTTCTCGCAATCCCAAACAATATATATAAATTTTTTACATGTCGCCTGGTTTTTTTGCGCGCAAAATTCTGTAGACAATGAAGTGGAATAGTAATCACATTTGAATACCCTAGATCAAGAGAGAGTACATCATTAATAAATAAAATATTATTAACAATGTGGTAAATTTGGTACGAGAATTTATTCTTGTCATATCATATTAACTCGCATCTTGCTTCGTACTTTTATTAAGTACTCTTAATATCTGCTGCTGTTGTATAAAGATGTACAAGCTCATACACATGTATAGACATTTTGTCTGGGATCAGACTGAAAACCTCCCGATGATGTTGGGTGGAGGTGTTGCTGGCAAGTGGAGAAGGCAAATGCAATTTTACTTCTACACACAGTATTTTTTCATTTTTTCTTTATTAAGTACAATAATATGATAATAATTAATGATTATAGAAGTGTATGAATGGAGAGTATGAGTGACTTATGTATGAAGTTTCTTCAATTATTTTACGTACTGACGAACGTGTGTACTTTCAGTAGTGTGAGGCGTGAATCCTTCTTTTCATGGGAAGTGTCGCTGTTGTAGCCGGCGCGTATTAACGTTGCCGTTGCTGTTTAATGTGAGCGTGATGAGCCGCCACTTTTTATCTATGTTGACATACGTTAATATGTGTTGGAGTTATACTTTCGTTAATTTCACTCTTAAATTATGCTTGCACTAGCGCTTCTTGAATATAGTTTAACGTATTTTTAACATTCGGCGTCACTATTGGTTTATTAGATTGCTTGTTACTCGATCATTAATTTGTATAGCTACAGTGAGTGATGACTGTAGTTTGGATGCTTGAAGAAAGAAAAGAGAGCCCATCGTGGTAACTGCGTAATTATACTAGCAAAGAGCTGTCACACAGTGCCAGTCACACCAGTGAAAGTTGAACTCGTCTAAGGGAATCCGTGCAAGGTATATTCATTTGTTTATATTGATTATTCTATAATTGCTGGCCAGCTATCAGTGCGTCCTCCGTAACGTGACGATAGTCAAATCGCATTGAGGATGAAGACATAGACTGGCATCTCCAGAAACTTATTAATACTACACGTAATTTTCGCAGCCCGCGCCTGCACTATCAGTTAGACCCTTGCAACTTCATTCTTATCAGACCACTAAAGACGGCACCTATACTGACGGGTGGCCCCGCCAAATTCTCATTACACTCGTAGCCCGCACCTATACTATCGGTTAGGCCCTTGCAACTTGATTCTTATAAGACCGCTAAAGAGGGCGCCGCTACTGACTGGTGGTCAATATATAATCCAATCCATAACAGATAATCCATAATAGTCCCCACGAGCCGAATCACGCTCAGTAAAATTCTAGCACCGACTCAAACGACTAGGCATTCACGAGCCGAACAACGCGCCATTAATTTGATCGCCGATTCAATTGACTAAGTATTCGCGAGCCGAACAACGCGCCACTAATTTATCACCGAACGTCAAGTATTTGCGAGCCAAACAACGCGCCGTAAAATTGATTGCCGAATTAGTCGTTAAGGAAGTCGCAAGCCCGACAGGGCTCTCTGGAAAACTATTGCCAAATCAATTGTCTAATGATTCTCAAACCGGAGAGACTCCTTTAAACTTAGTAACTAAACCACGTGTCCAGTCCCCCTAATTCACCCTTTAGATTTGCACTCCCGGATGACATTCTAAAGTTCATGGGCAACTGCCTAATCACTACGAACTCAACAATTCGCACTACAATCAGTAACACCAACACCAACTATACTTAACAACTGCTTAAATAAAGATCACTAAAACCAATTATGTTTACTCTGAATTGATGCATTACCCCCCCCCCCCAACGGCGGTACGTTCTAATCCACCCACCGTGATCTGCGATCATACTGGTGGCTGGAATTTCAAACAAGTTGTAATTATAATTATTAAAAATATATTGTACGTATTTTGATCATGTATTATTGATTCTTCAAATTGTATACGTGATAATGTTTTGTAATAATGTTTGCTAAGTATATAAATTTTAGCATTGAAAATGTAAATGTATCCTATTATAATCATTGTTTACTTACAATTAAGATTCTTATACGAATTCATAAAATTTGTAACTATTTATTATTTTTCTCTTAGGCATCTAATACATTAAAAATAGTGAAAACGAAATATTTGATTGAAGGTAGTATAAAGAAAAAAGAATACTTTAACCATTAACATTATATTGGTTTGATTTATTGCTACTTTCGTGTAACTTAAGCCATGGATTAACAGTCTGGTTCTTCAACAAATTGTATTTAAACTTTAAACTACCTTTTTGATATTAGATTTATTTTCTAATTATTGGTATGTTGAATATTTATTTTGTTTTATATTTTATAAAAACTAAATACTGGCATAATTATGAATATATTAAATTATACAATAAATAAAAATATATATTTCGATTGTTATTAATTATCTGTAAATTTTTATTTTCAAGTTTCTGATAATAATATATAGCAATTAAAAGTAGAATTAATCAACAATTTATACATATGTAAAAAAAAAAGAAGATAATTGAAGTCGGTATTGTAGCTTATATAAAATATTTAATAATTCAGAATTAAATTCTTGCTAAATTTGTCATGAAAATACTTAGAATAATCGTTGAATATTCTTATTTTTTTAGAATTGTAGAACTATTTAAAATAATATCATTTATATACTTTTTTAATTTTCTACTTTAAGATAATTAATTATTTGTAAAAAGTTTATTTAAAAAATAAAAAAAAATAGAAATAGAACCTTCTACCTTAATGCTTATATGTACACTAGATCTCACTAGTTCCTCCAGTCGATCACTATTAACATATAACCACGCTCCTGCTGCAACTTGAGCCACAATAACGAGCAGCATGCAACTGAAGAAACTAACGAGCATATATTGCGATTCCTTGTAAGCACCACAACATCCGAGAAAGGCAACAATAAACATTAATGCACCAGCAATTAAAAGTATATAAAGTCCAGCATAAAAATTCGAGTGATCTTGAGATAAAGTTACCAAAAATGTTTGGTCAACTAGCATCCATATGGAAAGAGCTATTGATGTTGCACCAATGACCTAAAAATGACGTATTAAAATTTTTTTTATTAATTTAGTTTTACTTATTATAATATTTATAAGAAATATAGCAAATTATTTAATTTTTCATCGAACAATATGAGCTGCTTTATGATGACTAAGGAAAGTTTCACAAACGACGCATTGTTTATAATGAGTGACATGTGCAGTAAGCTTGTATATATAGATTAATATATAAAAATATATCGTAGAAGTAAAACTGTATTCTTTTGTTATCTTGACAAAATAAATAAAATTGTAATAAACAAAAGCTTAAACATTAGAATATCAGTTTCGCCAATAAACGTACATCGCTATCTATAGGTTCAGCGATAGATATTTAGCAGTTATATTCTGTAAAACAATGAAGTTATCAATCGAAGAATTTTAAACCGAACACTAATAATACTTTTTGACCCCCTTGTATCTCCATCTATACAATCATTCAATTACATTATTAATTCTACCGTATAATAACTTATTCAAAAAGAGTCAATACTGATGATATCAATCATAAGTAAAAAAATCCTCAAATATTAAAATGACAATCACTATACATTCTTATGGATTTGAATATGTTAATGATACATTTATATTATAAAAATTTTAATTTTGTTTACAATTTGGAAGGTAAGAGCATTCTATAAAAAAATGTTTATTTTGTTTACAATCTTCTGTTGCTTCTTATAAATTTATGAATTAAAACAAATAATTTTTCACATGATAACATTTAACATGATCTTAAACAATTTGTTTAAGATATTTTTTTGACAATTGATATGTGCATTTTTTTTAAGTTTTTAATTTAAAAATTATCAATGTTTTAAATAGTTTTAAAAATACTTCTTTAGATTTAATGCTTTACTTTCAATGCAATATTCAAAATTATCGTAGTCTAGAAAAAATATTGTTTATTTGTTTTGATTTGCAATTTGATACTCTCTGCACTCAAGAAGATATATTAGTTGAATTTATTTTAATACTTAATAATTTGTTTAATTTTATACTTTAGCTAAGAAGTTACTTCCATGCAATACATTTAGACTTAAACAATTGTTTTATATAGAAACCAATATTGAATATAATTTTTTAACATATATAAATGTTACCTAAAGCCGAAGTTCTAAAACTAAAATCAGACAATTTCATAAAGTAAGATATATTTTTCTTAGTATCTATGCATATTATATAAAATAAAACCAAGATTGACTTACAAACTTATTTTTAAATTTTGCAAGAATTTAAAACTAATATTTTTGCGAAGTAGCACTTATACACTACATCAGAATCCGATAAGAATAAAAGATTAGGATATTTTTAAAATATTTTATTTGCTTTTGTATAACTTGAATTTTGTTGAACTAGACAATTTTGTCATTATTTTTTTTAGAAAAATCTTAAAAAACACAATATTGATTACCCATTTATGCGCGATTATTTAAATATTATTTAATTAAAATGCAGATAATCACGCAATAACTTATACCAATTTTACCAATAAAATAAAAAATTTTATCATACAAATTTCATGAAAGTTGTAAAGATGTGCGCAAAAATCATTAACAGGAAATTACCTTCTACATAATTAAATAATTATAAAATTATATAATTGTTGAATCTATTTTCTTATCAAAATAATAATTTTAGCTGGGAATTTGAGTTTCCATTTAGCTGCGATAACAATACTATATTCTTGAGTAACCTTTATTATATTTTAATTAATACTTAATATTTTATTGAGATGCAGATAGTAGAATTGTGTATTATCTGCAAATATTAAATTTATAATTAAATTGGAGTTATAAATTGACACAGTTTTTACAAAGAATTTTATCAAAGTTGGATCATCTCTAACAAGTAAAGGTATTTGAATTGATTATTACGATCTCAAAAATGCATCAGTTTTCTTTCTAACTATCCACTGGCTCCAAGAAATGAACTATGTATAAGAACATCAGTTTTTATTTTTTATTTATTTAAGTGAATAGTATTTATACGAACATTATTTGTTAATAAAATTTCCAAAATTGATTCTGGTTTTCAAATATTTTTCACATATCTTGCAAGCTCTAAGTTTGGTATTATGTACACAATTTAAATTTTATTCCCTACAAAGATATGCATGTTGATAAACATTTTCATTCAGATATTCATTGACATAAACATGTGCATGACACTAGTATACTGATCACTGATGAAGTACACATTGTAAGCTTCAATTATTACATGCCTATTATAATTAATAATACATAGTTACGAATTTGGTATTTTTTTGAAAGCAACAAATCAAGCAAATTGACACTTATCTTTTTGTTTTTGTAATTAGCTTATTTGTGCATTATATATATATATATATATATATATATATATATATATATATTATGAAAGTATCAAACTAAAACATATCATTTTATACAAATAATAAAAACAAATAAATTGTATCTTGGTAGAATAAATTGTTTGAAAAAAAGTATGACAGAACACAGAACATCTTTATTTATTAAAGCTTTTAATTATTGTAAATAGAAAAATAAGGAAACAAAATTCATATATATATATATATATATATATATATATATATATATATTGAATAAAATAAAAGATTAATATTTATAGAAAGTATCGCAAATAATAAAATATTCATATAAATAATAATATGACATTAAAAAATGTATAATTTCTGAATACAACTGATTAGCTAGACAAGAAAGTAAGCTACAAAAGAAATTTACTGTTAAAAAAGATTTGAAAACAATATACAAATAAGATACAGTTGATACTAAAAAAGAAGTTTAAATGAAAAAAACAAAGAATGTAAGTATTATTTGTATCACACTAAAAATAGACAATTTAGTCATTTGTTTCTATAATGGTCATGATACATAAATTCATTTAGTTATGCAGATAAAATATTAAACTAAATATTAAATTAATTTAAAAACTTAGAAGAGTGAAAAAAAAAAGAAATATACAATCAAGATAATAATTTATACAAAAAAATATTTAGAAATATTAAATTAAATTAAATTAAAAATATAAATAACTATCAAGTTAAAAACTGACTCTGTTAATTTAGTTTAAAATATCTGTAAAAAGATTCACAATTATATTTCATAAAAACCTGTTTATATAATTATATATATATACAATATATTAATAATCTATATTCAAATTTAAAATAAAAATAAAGATTTATAATATGATAAGATAAGCATAGATATTGTTTAATTATATCAATTAATTTTAATTATTTAAATTATTTTAATCATTTTTAATTTTTAATTATTTATTTGATTTTTTAAATTAAATTTTTATTGCTTATTTACTCTATTTTGTATTTTTCAATATATCTATATTTTCAATATATATACTTAAAAATTATTTAATATTTATAATTTATTACAAGAAAACGATTAATTATTATTTATTATTTTAATTTTTAGGTTAAATAAAAATGATTTTTTACAAAATTTACAAAATATTAGCATCATCGCTTCATATAAAGAAATATAAATTTTTATTTTCAATTATCAATACTTGTATACAATGTAATATAAATTCAATTCATTTAATATAGCAACAAAGAATAATTAAAATGTACAATAATATAGAAGTTATTATATTGAAAAACATAAAATAATTAATTACTTTTTAAAAAATTTATATTTATAATTACTTTCAAATATAAACTACTTTCTACATTAATCGTGAATTTTTTATTCTCTAACTCATTTGTATCATGTTAGTAATAAATGATAAATTAATAACTTAACAAAAAATAAAACATGATTGTTATTAAGAAAAAATTATTATGAATAAAAATCTTATAATAAAGAGAATTTAATAAAAATATGTAAAAACCAAATAAAAATTGGTTAATATATATCTAAATATAATTTTAAATATAAAATACAACAAAAATTAACAGAAACTAATATTCAACCATAAGTTTTAGTTATAGTATTTTTTTACTTATTCTCGTAGTATTTTATTATTTATCAAATATTCAAAATTGCAATAACTTAATTTATAATAACTTATACAAAGCATACACAATGTTCAATAAAAAATATTATATATAAAATTGAAATTAGCTTACCCAGAATATGAGATTCACAAATACGAGAATGTATTTTATAACACTAAAGCATTCTATAAGACTCATTTTTAAGAAATTATTACCTTTTATTTAAATTGCTTATTTTTTCTTACTTCGATATAAACAATAATTAATTCATATTTAGTATTTTTAAATTTAGAACTCCGGATCAAAATATAATTTATAGTAAAATTTTTACATTACACGTGTATTTAATAGCCACTATTAAAAAAATGATAAGTAAAAATAATGATTATAAACGAAGGAACATTTTCTATTGGTTATCCGATATTTCTTTAATACAAGAAATTACAAAGATTGAAAATGAAACAGGAATTATAAAACTTATATAAAAGGGTTTACAACTAAAATATTTTTAATAATTAAATTTGTTTTTTAATTATTAATATATTGAATAAAATAATATTATTAATATTTTTAATTTTCATTAAATAAATATTTTCTGTAAAGTATTTATGGCTAATTGGCTAAATCCTTACGTTATATACTAAGTTTTATTCATAAATGAATACATTAATTAATTTTTGTTTTAAGAATTATTTATAAAAAATAACAATATGTAATAAAGTACAAATTGTAATAATGATGTTAAATATAAAAAATAATGTATTACTCTGTTTGTACAAAATGTATTCGCCATTCCGGCTTGTTTTACCAAGTCCGATTCGAAGTTGACAACTCAGTGATCACGGATGTTGTGTGATAGCGATAAAAGGTCAAAGTGGAAGGGATATTATAATAATTCAATGTAAATATATTTGGTGGTTATGCTGTTTATTCTGTTATTTATCCGATTACAGGGCTTGACTAGTATTACTATTATTAATTATTGAAATGACTCTTGAGGTGGATTGATGTGTTTGCGGTGGCAAGCGTATACTCATCTATGCAGCGTGATGGTTTGAATATGAGCGCAGAATGGCGCGAAGTTTGATTCATCGACACTCGCGCTGTTTGAATGAGCAGGTGAGTAATTGAGGTTATGGTGAGTATGTAGCGCGACACATGTAACTGTTGTTACTTGAGAATATACTCGGGTGGTAGCAAGCGTACCTTAGTCCTAATATTGGCGTACTGCAATAGTTATTCAATTGGAAGTAAGAGTTTGAAAGGCTTTTACCTCGTGAAGGACACTGCTACGTGTTGCGTCTGCTATGAGCGTTGAATGGCACGCTGTGGATTCATGAGCGTCAGATTTGAGATAAGGTGAGGGTAGACCGGCAAGACTCGCATACACTGGCGCGAACTTAGCGACGAGTTTGGAATTATTCCGCACTGCCTCTCTGGAGAGAGCCTCAATTCCTTAGGTGCTTGTCGATGAGTTAAACGCTGAATCTCAAATTTAGTTGATTATTGTAGTAGTGATACTACTTACGAAGACTAATGGAGTTCTCAGTCAAGGAACATCCTTTTCCTTCTTGATGAGGACTTCAACTGGCACTTGTCTTCGGACTTCGATAATGAAATTTGTCCGTCTCCTTCCTTGAGGACTTGTAACGAAAGTTGTCTTGAACTACGTTAAAGGGGACTTTTCACTTCCTATTTGACTAAGGACTTTATTGAGAGTGTTTGAATATTGAAAATATGCCTCTTAAATACATTTACTGATCATGATCTTCACTTGATTTCCTTCCCTTATTTTCTGTCCAATCAGAGTGTTCACTTACAGAGCGAGGTCAACGCCTCTTGTGGCTTCATAGTTAATGTGGCTTCATAGTAGTCGTCTCTTGGTCTTCACGGTAAGAAGAGCTCTCGTTGCCTCTGATGCATCTAGCGACAGTATGATAACTTGTCGACATAGGGAAGGGGAGGTCCAGTACATATCGGTTTGAATTTACTTACCGAGCGGAGCGAATCCGTATATATGCCTAATCAGTTGGATTTTCCCGACTTTATTATCATGTTTTTCCAGATTTTTTATGACACTATTGCTAGATGGTTGTGAGCAAGAAATTTCCGAAATCTAAAACGACAAATTTACAATGTTGTTCTGCCAGATGTTTTATTGGCAAGGACCGTTCTTACAACCTCGAACACTGTTTAATGAAATAATATTTTTCTAGATATTTTATTGTTTTATTTGTCAAATTATATGTAATTAGTATAAAATCAGATGTAGTCGATATTACAAATGAATGGGATTAATGTTAGACAATTACAACACAATTAGATAATAATTTAGGTAATCAAATGAAATCAACTGTTTTAAACTCTAGAAAAAGTAGTGTTTGAATTATTATTACAGATTATTTCTGTTACAGAAATAATACGTATACTTCCTTGAAGTATCAAAATTGTAATTACCATATTTTTTAGCCTTTACTTGTTGTATTCTGTTATATTTGACTACAAAGGCAAGATGGTAGACAAATTTGCTAATATTTACTCGCATTCTTATAATAAGACAGAAGTTCTCTAAATTTCTATATAAGTGCATAATCAACTGCATTAGTATTGATAGCACAAATATTCCTTAGAAATGAATTAAGCATAAAATTAATTCACTGTGTATTTTGTGTGTTTTTCGTGTGTGTTACGGATTACAACAGTTTTAAGCGGAATGCAAAGTGGGAGAGGTATGAGCGCACGAAGCATTATTTGGTAAACATTGGCCAACGGACTCGACGAATGCTTCTAACCGAAAAACTCGAACATACGACTATAATTCCGAGAAATATTAACAAATGAACCCCGAAAAAGCTATGCCCTATTGCCTTCACGACAAATAGCGACATAGTAACAGCCACCGATATCGCGCTATCGGCGCATCCAGTTCGTACGAGAATGTGAAAGGAGCTTCACGTGTCGCGATTGCCCTGCTAGTACCAATCATGCACTCTTCACAGCGGGATCGCTATCCAACCTTGCCATCGCCATTGGGAGGCCATGGCAAGTATCAAGCAACCTAAGGAACTAATAGTGATGCCACAACTATACTGGCACCCACGCCTCCGTAAGCAACGCAGATACTCGTTCCTTACTACTTCTGCTAGTACAAGCACCCAGCACGACAGGCGATCACCACTCTGCTAGCACATTACACAGTTCCCGACTGCATGCAAGTAACGCCGGCTCACGTTCTTGCATATTAGGTCACCACGCGATCGCCACTCTGCTAGCACATTACACAGTTCCCGACTGCATGCAAGTAACGCCGGCTCACGTTCTTGCATATTACCTCCCCACGCGATTACTGCTACCACTTCACGCAGTTCCCGCCACCACGTGCAAGCAACGCTGACGTTCGTTCTTGCATAGTACCTTACACCGCGATTTATGCCCGCATGTAAGTAACGTCGAAGCTATTTCTTACCTTACCTGTACACCGCGAGTTACACTCGCATCGAGCACACGAACGTGCACCAACATCACCACTACCTTGGAGCTGACGGACACAAGCTGTGACGTCACACGGGCGTTCTTCCACCACTTCGTACACCACAGCTCATCCTTCGCCGGCTGCCAAGACGGTACTAACTTGCTTCCCCTACCGTCAAGAGCTCCTCACTACGACTACTCAACCCACGAAGAAGGGGAATCACCCTACAAGCTATCAAGAACACACGCACAGACTCATCGTCACCACTACTACTGAAGAAACACTAATATATTCACTACATCATACACTCATTCTAATAATTAACAGATTATTAACTACTCATTACTTATTACATTTAATGAAAGTAACGACTATAAACACAAAAGACAGTATTGAATAATTGCATTGCCGCTTCCACTTGCCAGCAAGCCTCCACCCACCATCATAAGGAGGTTTTTAGTCTGATCCCAGACAGTGTGGTCTATATAATATTATTGATTTTTATTTATTATAAACATAATTCGTACAAGCAAGTCCTAATTAAATTTTTTTAAAGATTACTACCAATAATTGTTATAAATATTGGAAATAATTGAATATCTGCTTAAAACTGGACTTTTTAGATGTAGCAAATAATATGAACAATTTATATTAAAAATTAAAAAAAAAACAAAAGGGCTCAACTTTCAAATTTAACTAACTTTTCTACTCACTTTTAACTATATTTTTATATAGACAATAAAATTAATAGTGTTTGTAAATATAAAACTGTATAAATAAATATTCGACATTGATTATTTACGAACATGACAAATAAAGTTTTGTAAAAATCTTAAGAATAAAAAATATATGTAAACATTTTGATAATTGAACTATATCGATTCAAAAATTTTTTCAGAGCAAGGGTTAAACTTATACATGCAAAGCTTTATTTGAATGTAGTGCATATGCATGTTATGTGGTGGTAGTAATATGTAATAAAAAATTAAACTTTACAATTTTGTATACATATATATTAATATAAGGTAAATATTAATTATTATAAAAAGTCTGATCAAAGAAATATGAAATCTAAATATTTAATTATTAATTTATTACTATGCCATAAACATTGTATTTTATTTGCGAAAAACAGCCTTTTAACAATTCAATTCAATCAACATAAAATTATACTAAATATCAGTGACTGTTCAAGAATGTAAGAAAACTCCCAGCTCATTAAACATCTGGAAAATTCGAGATAAGAGTTCCGAAAAAGGCGAACTCTCGACTACTCGAGAAATAACATTCAAAACGCGCTTCGGATTAACTAAATCTAAACAATTCAGCAAAACTTCGAATATCTAAAGAAAATACAATTCATAAACACATCTGGCGAGAACAAGGTTCCAAGTGTCCAGCAAAACAAGTCATAAAACTAATGCTACGAGACATTTGACAGAGCCTCGCCACAAAGCATCTATCGACGACAAGTCATAATACTTCTGGCATAATCAAGTCATAAAAATATAAGTAAAAACCACCTCGTCTTACATCCGAAAAAGGGATATTAAAGGCAACACTGCACGCATACGGTGTTGTCAAACCCAGCTATATGTGGCTCGGATAGTGAAGCGAGAACGTGCCAAAGAAGTCCCCCTTTCATGGTGGGACTGCAAGTAAGAAGCGCTCTGATTGGAGCCGTCAATAATGAAAGGATCAATTCGATTGGACACGCCCAAAAAGAGGCGCTCTGATTGGAAACGCCAAGAAGTAGGAAATTCATAAGGGCCACGCGGTGGCTTAGAGAATGCCTTCAAGAAAGACGCCAGCAAGGCGCGCAGTGGAGTCTCTTGTCACCAGAGAAGCCGGCAAGGCTGCTTCTCCAAGAGAACGCCAAATAACAAGAATGTAGACATACACAGTAAAGGCCGATTAAGAGGCAAAGTCTAGTCATATCCAACTCATAACAAGTGCAAGATAAGTGCAAATCAAATCATACACTCGCCGCAGTGCAAGTAAACAGCGGTGCACAAGGTATAACATAATCACAACCTATAAGGAGCCGTTCGAGGCAAACTCAGCAAACAATACGGGGCATAGCCAGAAAAACACAAAACATAAACTACAAGCTGCCTCACGAGGAACAACCTGCAGACATCACTAACTGCCATCAAGAGCACAAAATCTGCAGAACTCATAAGGTAAAGTTCCATTCCTTAATAACGATAATAACACACAATATGCCTCACAAGGTAAAGAACTGTAGAGCGATCAAGCTCACACAATCTGCAAACATATAAGGGGCAAGTTTAGCTCCCACAAGAAAGACTTACGAGGCGCCGTACGCAGCAATATCTGCAGACTAAGATCACTTCATCTTAGTCACCAAAAGCGTACCTGCAGAGCCTTCAACGTAAGCAATAAGACAATACCAAGGCAAATTCAAGCTACTGCCACGTGCCACTGCACAAGGAAGCACGGGGATTTACGACCTTATTCTTCTACGTGTATAACACCACCACCACGTGCATTACATATAGAGGACCAGAAGGCTACGCCCTTCTACCTGTACATGCATCGCACATTACAGCTCTGTGGCAATAGCAATACAAAACTCAAGAAACGAAGGCATTCAAGCATAAACTAAAAATCATTATAATACAACTAATGCAATTATCGCAATAAACTAAAACAAATACCAAATCTATTTATTATTGAATACATGCACTATCCTGTCCACTTGCCCGCAATCCTCCCTTCCACCATCTGGGAGTTTACACGTAACTCTAGATATGTGGCCCTCCTAGCCAGGTACTCTATTTTTAGACAGTGATATTATCATAAAAGTGATAGATACATTTAAATATTTACTAAATTAGAAATTTTGTAGGATAATAATAATAGTTTATTTAAACATTTTTAAAATTCAAAACTAAAATCGAAAATTTTTTAATATTCTGATTTGTTCGGAATTGAAGCAGTTAAAGACGAAATACAAAAGTGGGAGAGGTATAAGCTCCTGGACATTTACGTTATAAACACAATTCAGCGAATTCGGGAAATTTCACTACGCTGAATACTCGAATATTAGATTCTAATTCCGACTAGCAATGCCGATGAATTCTCAAGGCTATATTCTAGTGATGTCACCATAATGATCGGCATAGCAACAGGCACCAGTGCGCTACCCGCGTTGCAAGCTCCTACGTGAATATTTAAGAGCAGCCTGTACGTTTAACATCTAGTCAGTCACTACTCATCTGGCTCTCAGTATTGTTCTATGATAAATTCAGTTTAGTGCTAATTGTAATTCTATATTTAGTATTATTATTGAGTAGTGCATCTCACATCAGTGTCACTTGCGCCAGCGCGAACTGCAATTCAAATCTCAGACAATGAAGAGCACAAGAAAGAACTGACACCACTACATAGAATAGTTCTCTATCTCAATAGAAGTAACCAACAACGCTACAATATTTTAATTCATAAGCAGAATAAATTAATAATCGAACACAACTATATTACATTATTCTTTTCATTCCTTACATTTGTGCCTTCTTTCTTCCTAATCGCTATGGTGAGAGATTAATCCACTGAACTAATGAAATGGCAGTTCGAGCCATAAATTAAAACGTAAAATTCGAACATTATTCTATAGAAAACGTTTATTCTATAGATATTCTATAGATAAGTTTTACGACCATTGAGAAATATAACTAAATAAAATACTCTAATAATCTATAAGTGAGTATGATTTTAATAGTTATTTTTTGTAAATTTTTGTTTGAAAATCAAGAATTTAATAGTATAATAAATTACATATGCTGTCCATATATATATTAAATTAATAGGATTATATAGAACATGCTCGATGTACGAATAATTAGAATATTTAATAATATAGAACATATTTGTTCATATATGCGATAACAAAGTTAATAAAAAATAGTAATTCGACTAAAACAAAAAAGTCCATAAAAGAATATTGATAATGTTGATATGAAATAATGTTATCTACTCAATTTTTGTTCATTACCTACATTAATTTGAAATCTACTTATACAAGATTTTTTATCATATTTTGTATGTAGATGTGTGACCATATTTTCTATTTAATCAGCCTTACTTTTATATTTATACAAAAAAGCAAGTATCAAATAAAAATAATAAATAGTAATAACGCAAAAAGTTCAAGTGTATACTGAACTGAAACATTTAATGAATATTATATAGAATCAAAAAGTTATATTGGATACAGACAATGTTTAAATAGAATTAATAAACAAGAAGACAATATATTATTCCGAACTTAGAGAAGTATTAAAATTAAATCAAATTTTTAATCATGGATATTTTAAATAGATTAGGACTTTAAAGGATTAATACTTTTGATCACCTAATGTAATCTAGACATTATAGTGATATTATATTATACATAATAAATTCTTTAAAGATATAATTTCAATAAATTCTAATTAAAAACTAATATGAAAATAGAGTATTTGTATCAATTTCATGAGAATGCAGAATATTTAAAAAATTGTTTTTTATATTGGAGTTTCTGATAAACTTGCTAAAAATGACTGTTTCTTTTATTATTCTAAATGTTATTGCAACATATTTTTAATATATATCTTATAATTTTTTTGCGCATATATGAGGTTAGAAAAAATCTAAAATATGTTGTTTTGCATGTCTATCTTGAATACAATTGCGAAAAATACTTGATTTTTTCATACATTGTAAAGGGCAGCAGTCGTATATCTTAGATCTGTAAGCAATTTAATTAAATTTTTATTTATTAGGTAACTAAATCTATAAATAATAAAATAAAGTGTATGTATATAGGTAATAAAATAATTCACATATGATATTTGGCGTATGTATACAGAAAATCTAGTAACTTAAAGCTAAATAATAAGACTGTTTAGTAACTTTCCAAATCAAGTGTTAAATACTGTTTATGACATAAATAAACAAAAAATGAATATTTTTTTATATAAAAGTACTAGGTATTTTTACATTAGGTAGACTTATTTTTAATTTTAATTATGATAACAAATTTATTATCAAATAATTGCTTCGTGCGATATTTATCATATTTTAATTTCTAGCATCTCATTAATAAATTTTATAAAAATAGACGAGAGTACATTAAAATTGTGAAAATAAGTCACAAGCTATTTGTCTGCGTCAGACAGAAAACCTCCCAAATGCAATTATTCAATTCTACACACAGTGTATCTTGTCTTTCCTTTATTAAATACAATAATATAATAATTAGTTAATGGTTATAAAGTATATGAATGGAGAGTGTGAGTAAATTATTTGATGAAGTTTCTTCAATTATTTTACGTACTGGTGAGAGTGTGCATACTCTCGGTAGCATGAGGTGTGACTCCTTGTTTTCACGAGAAGTGTCGCTGTAGTAGCCGGTGCGTACTAAAGGAGCGAGTGAGACGATGCTGCCTTAGCCTCCGGTGTGAGCGTGAGCGCTGCCGCTGTTGATGTGGTTGTAAGGAACATGCATGTTACCGTTGCTGCTTACATAGGTGCAAGGTCCGCCGGTACTGGTGTGGTGTAAGGAATGTGCGTGTTGCCGTTGTTGCTTACGTAGGCGTAGGGTCCGCCGATAGTTGTATCGAGGTTGCGATACGTTGGTATATGTTGTAGTTGTAGTCTCATTATTTTTAGTAAAATTTACCTATCTTTATCGTTTGATTAGACTTTACAATATCAATTGTGTACTAAATGTTATATATATAATAATAGATATAGTATTTGTAAATACGATATATTATTAATACATATGCTTAATACTAATTATATACAGTTTGTACAAAAAGTATTCGCCGATCCGGCTTGTTTTACCAAGGCCGGTTCGAAGGATACAAATTGATGCCGCTGGCAACTCAGAGACCACGGGTGTTCTGTGGTAGCGACGAAAGGTAACAAGTGGAAGAGATATTATAATAATACAATATAAATATAACTGATGTATATGCTGTTTATTCTGTTATATATTGATGACAAAGTTGACTAGTATTACTATTATTAATTATTGAAATAACTCTTGGGGTGGATCGATGTGTTTACGGTGGCAAACGTATACTCATTTATGCAGCGTGATGGTTTGAATATGAGCGTAGAATGGCGCGAAGTTTGATTCGCCGACACTCGCACTGTTTGAATGAGCACGTGCGTAATTGAGGTTATGGTGGTTATGTAGCGCGACACATGTATCTGTTGGTACTTGAAAGATATAACCGTATCGTAGCAAATGTACCTTGTCCTGATATTGGCGTACTGCAATAAATTCATATGTAAGTAAAAGTTTGAAGGGCTTTTACCTCATGAAGGATACTGCTACGTGTTGCGTCTGCTATGAGCGTTGAATGGCACGCTGTGGATTCATGAACGTCAAATTTGAGATAAGGTGAGGGTAGACCGGCAAGACTCGCATACACTGGCGCGAACTTAGCGACAAGTTTGGAATTATTCCGCACTGCCTCTCTGGAGAGAGCCTCAAATCCTTAGGTGCTTGTCGATGAGTTAAACTCTGAATCTCAAATGTTAGTTGATTATTGTAGTAGTGATACTACTTACGAAGAATAATCGTCGACTTGTCTTCGGACTCCGATATACGGACTATAGTCGCTCCTTTTGAACTTGTAACGAAGATTTCTTGAACTGCGTTAATGGACATACGGTGATATATCGTTGTTCTTCTAGGGCGTATAACTACTGTTGCCTTGAACAGCGTTAATGGACTTCCACTTGACACTTATTGAATCTTGAAAAATGCGCCCCTTAAATACATTTGCTGACCATATAATGAATCACCGAAATATATCAATACCTAGTGTACGATATTAAAGGTTTGGTTATGGCTCGAACTACCAATTCAATAGTTCAGTGGATTAGTCTCTCGGCAGATAACTTCAAAGGAAACAATAAGTGACAAGGCTGAAAAATATCATATATTTAGTAAAACAATGCTTATTATTGTAAAAGATTATAATAATATTGCACTGTTGTGTAGAGAGAGATAATTCTATTGAAGTAATGTGGGTGTGTTCTTGTATTCTTGAATTATTGTAGATGCTATGGATTTACTGTGTCTTGAAGTTGAGGTAATACTGATGTTGTAAATATCAGCTGATGTCGTCAGTTAATCATGCTCGTGAGGTAGCATAAGAAGATGGTGTTAGAATCAAGTACGCTTGATGTATGAATAACTATACTTGATATGGTGTAAGATGTTTAATGGAATGCGTTAAGTAATCAATTGTGTCTTTAATTATTTAAGTTAAGACTAGTTTATTTATACATATAAAGGTCTACCTTGTCAGCAACAGGCAAGGTGTATTAGTTGCTGTGTAATTGATATCGCCTTTGATTACTATTCCAATTGGCTTCACTGTAATCAGCACTAAATCTGCCGATTTTCGTTCATTAATGCACACGTGCAATATTAACTTGAATACTGAATATAAGGCCACGTGTTGTCTTCACAGTATACTGAAACACTGAGCGGCAATTACACTTGAGTGAGCGCGAAGTGAGATTACAATGAGCCTTTTGAATACGCGTACGAACCGATGGCTTGATCGTTCCGTGGCAGCTCTGCTGAAAATACCGACCGTTCCATAGTGGTCCTGCTGAGGGCAGATCGAGACCCATGTGCCATGGCTTCTACTGGTAGATGATTAAATCGGTTCACCAGGATCGGTCACTGCGGTCGAGTCACGGCAAGATGTTAGCCGCAAGCGCAGTTGGTCGAGGGTGGTTCGGCAAGAGAGCCGGTCAGTCAGCGAGAAACTTTCAGCTAGAGAGATTTTCAGCGAGAGGGCGAGGTGCGCCGCGTGCGTCCCTTATATAGCCACTTAGCTGGCTCACTTAGCTGGCAACAAATCATCGTCGTTGTTGCACTAATTCTTACACGAGGCGTAGAAAGAAAAATCTAAAACCTTCGAGAATGTTTGATGAGAGAAAAGTAGGCGTAATATCTTTGTGTGAGTATATTAGATTTCATGTCGTAAAACTTGCTCGGACTTGCCAAGTTTTGTTTATAAACACTCGCCCGAGTGCGCGTCCCGGTCCGAGTGCGCGTCCAGGTCCGATCGCGTGTACCGGTGTAGGCGCGCGTGGCGTATGCCTCACAGCGCGTATGACCTACTTTTTCTAAAATTCATGGAACTGCATCAATCTCGAACAATGAACGATAAAATATAATATTAAGTTTTACGAGCCAATCATATAATGTCATAAAAAACTGATTTTGTGTTACATTGTTAAACTTTTAATTATACTTCACTAGACTTTAATAAGCGTTGTTTGTAAAACTTTCTAGCTTAAGTCACATTTTCGTTTGTATAGAAAAAAATGTAAGGTATTTTATATAAGTGATATAAAATTGATATATAGTATACAAATTGAAATATACATATATCGTTATATAAAAAATTATACAGTTAAAATATATTTCGATTTCATCCAGTTTGAAGATGAATAATCATGTAAGATGAATTCGTAATTATTATCGTAATATAATGAAATGTGAAAATTAGAAGCTTGAAAATAGAAAATACAATTGTTAAAAATATGGAAACTAATTAATGAATTGTAATTAAAATTGCAATTTCATAAATATCATAATTTAAGCATTAATATAGATAATAGAGATATATTATGTGTTCTGAATTATTGTTATTATTTTGAAGAACTGCAGATTTTTAATGCATTTCTGAACATGTATCTAATAATATAATTCAGTACTAATATGTAGTTAGAATTCTTGAAAAATATCTTAGTATATATTATTTAGGTTATGGAAGATATACTAAATGGTATTTTAATCAATGCTGATAGTATCTCAAAATTTTTACTTATAATTTTCACCAACATGCTTAGGTAGAATCAGAAACGAGAGTTTTCATTTGAATATGTTTCATTCAAATATTTGTAAAATTCAAATAATGAATAAAAAAATTTAAGAATAAATTATGGATTGTAAAGAATGTAAAATTTGGTTATTTAAAAACATTATGCAGTGTTAATATTATGTAGTGAACATTATGTGAATATTAATGTTTTGTAATTTAAATGTAATTTTGATATAAACTTTTATCTTTTAAATTGTAATAATACTATCCTTTTAACGAAATACTAAATTCTAAAAACAGGAAAAATAACTATTTATAGTTTTACGTACAATATTGAAATGTTGTTATATAATGATATATTTTATAGTACTTACTTATCGATGTTTTCAAGCTCTTCTGGGTATTTCAACAATCCCAAAGTTTTACAAAAATCTTGACCAACATCTTGTAAATGTTTTATATTAAGATGATAGCCAGCCAGAGGTCCTTGATCGCAACCACAAAAACTACTTTCCAATGTATAACTCCTGAAGTCATAATTATTATAATTGTATAATAAAAATATAAATATAGGTAATGAGAATACAATGTATTAATTACAGCTTTAAATTAATTTATCTCTAGTTGAAGTAAAGTCTTTACACTATGGTCTATATGACAAGATTGTAGAATTGATTATCATTGTAGTAAGTTATTGAATTTTCAAATGTTACAGTCAAAGTGGTAGTTAGTAAATGATGATGAGTATACCATACATACTCTTTCTTATCGCAAGAAAAATATCTGTTACACGAGTTAGAGCACAACATACATAGTTATATCTACCACACCTTCCAAATTTATTGTTACTTCTCCAAACACTATTGTACAAAATGTATCCGATGATCCGGTTTGTTTTACCAAGACCGGTTCAACGAACGAAAATTGTTTATGTAGATAACTCAGAGACGACGAGATGTTATGTGGTTGAGATGGGTGGGCAAGTGGAAGGAATCGTGTAATAAATTCAATATTAATGCATCTGTTCGTTCTGTTGGTTATTTCGTTAATTTCCAGAGACAGGAATGACTTTTATTACTGTTATTTAATCGATGAACTTTTGGATTGGACAGATCACACTTTGCTGTAGCAAACATACTTTAACCAGAGGTCAGTGATGTAATATTTGCTTCTCTTGGCATAGTGCACTGTTGTTATTCCCTGGGAAGTAATAGATTGTAAAACTCTTTTCACTTCTTCGAGTAGGTCGCGTGTGGTTCTGCTATGAGCGATAAATGGCGCAAAGATTGGTCTCGTGAGCGTAGGACTCGCGCTAGGAGAGAGGTTAGGTCGGCAAAGTGGGCGCTGAATGGCACGAAGGCTTGTCGACACATGACATGTACGTATGGGGGACGTGCTTCTCCTTGAATACAGACAGTAGAATTAATTAAGATAATTTTGTGTGTATCTGTTAGATGTCTCAATTCCTTACGTATACTCGATGACTTGGCTTTTGGAGAACCTTGAATATTACATGATGGCTATGATGCCTACAGTAGATGATACTACAAGCGAAGACTGATCTTGGACTCACTTGAAGCACTTTGCCACTTCCTTCTTCAATGAGGATTTCAACTGGTACTTGCCTTCCGTCAACGATAAGTGAATTTTTTATTTCCTTTTCTTTGAGGATTTCAACGAAAGTTTGTCTTCGTACATTGTTTAGGGACTTACCACTTCCTATTTGAATAAAAACTTTACCAAGAGTGTTTATATCTTGTGATTGTCTCTCTTAAATACATTCACTGACCATAGTGTTCACTTGGGATCCCTTCCTTTTTTTGTGTCCAATCAGAGAGCTTGCGACTTACAGAACGAGGGCAGCGCCTCTCGCGGTTTCGACTTTAATTATGAAGCTTAGTCTGCTCTTGGTCTTCACGGCTAGAAGAGCTTTCGATCTCGTTGCCCTCGACGCCTTTGGCGGTAGCATGACAACTTGACAACAAGGGGGAGGGGGCAGTATATACCATTAGATTATCGGTTATCGCGATTCCTTGCAGTTGTCTAATGAGTTGGATTTTCCCAAGACTTACGACTTGTTTTGCCAGATGTTTTATAGGCAGAACTTTTCAGAAGTCTAACGACTATTTAACAATGTTGTTTTGCCAAATGTTTTATGGCATAGGAAAAGCTTCTCGCAATCTCGAACAATTATACATGCACTAATAGATCAACAAAATATGTTCTTTGATATTCTTTCGTAGTTAATATATTTTCAAATTATTTTTATTATTTAATTCTATTATACCAGATAATCTTTAAATATTATATATTACGCAATATTCAATGGTAAATGTTCTGTTGATTAAAATTATTATTATGAACAGTTATTATGGATCTTGATAATTATAATATTAACTTTTGATCAAGTTCATATATAGCATACATTTGTAATTAACTACGTAATCGTGTTATGTAAGTAAAGAAAATAATTTGTAAATAAAAGCATATATGAATAAATCTTACATATATTATTATATTTAGTAGTATTACATAATTATTTATATTTTATTTATATTTTTGAATTATTATAAATACAATGAAAGGATCCATTTTAATGTTTTTAGTTTTTTTAAAATAAATTTTAGTTTTAATATTTAATATTTTTTCGAAATTTTAAGAATATTCCCAAGTCATTAGACATCTGGAAAACTAGCTATTAGAGTTCCAAAAAATGAAATCGTTAAGCATCTGGCAAAAACATGTCATTCAAAGCTGTGAAAAACAAGTCATAAAAATATAAGTAAAAAAACCATGTCGTTTGACATCCTGAAAAAGAATATTAAAGGCAACACTGCAAAGCATACGCTGTTGTCAAATCCAGCTACATGTGGGTTGAATAGTGAAGCGAGAACGCGCAAAAAAAGTCCCCCTCATGGTGGGAATGCAAGTAAGAAGCGCTCTGATTGGAGCAGCCAATAATGAAAGAATCAATTCGATTGGAGATGCCAAGAAAGAGGCGCTTTGATTGGAAACGCCAAGAAGGACGTAATTCGTAAAGACCACGCGGTGGCCGAGAATGCTTTTAAGAAAGACGCCGACAAGGCGCAACAGCTTCTTCTCCAAAGGAACGCCAAAGAACAAAGATGTAGAGATACACAGTAAAGGCCAAGAATTAAGAGGCAAAGGCTAGTCATATTCAACTCATAACAAGTGTAAGATAAGTGCAATTCAAATCATACACTCGCAGCAGTGCAAGAAAATGATAAGGGAACAAGAAAACAGTGGTGCACAGAGCACAACATAATCATAACCTATAAAGAGGCGCCCGTCAGCCGAGGTATAGCCAGCAAAACACAAAGCAGAAACTACAAGCTGCCGCACGAGGCAAAGCTTGCAGACATCACTAGCTGCCATCAAGAGTACAAAATCTGCAGAACTCACAAGGTAAAGTTCCATTCCTTAATAACGATAATTATACACAATATGCCTCACAAGGTAAAGAACTGTATAGCGACCAAACGTACACCATCTGCAGCGCGTAAGGGGCAAGTTTAGATCCCACAAGATAGACTTACGAGGCTCCGAACGCGGAAATATCTGCAGACTACGATGAAGTGCCACCAACAGTACACCTGCAAAGCCTACAAGGTAAGCAATAAGACAAGGCAAAATCAAACTACTGCCACATGCCATTACACAAGGAAGTGCGGGGGTTTACGACCTTGTTATTCTACGTGTATAACACCACCACCATGTGCATTACATATAGAGGACCAAAAAGTTACGACCTTCTATCTGTAAATGCAACGCCAATTACCTCTCTGTGGCAATAGTAATACAAAACTAAAAAAACGAAGACATTCGAACATCAACTAAAAATCATTATAATACATTAATGCAATTATCGCAATAACCTACAACAAATAACGAAACCATTTATTATTGAATTCATACACTATCCTGTCCACTTGCACGCAATTCTTCCTTCAACCATCTGGGAGTTTACACCTAATTTTAGATATTTGGCCCTCCTCGCCCGGAACTCTATTTTTAGACAATATTTTGAAAACAAATTTAATGTTACGAATTTCATATTTAAGTGAAAAATTACACGACCTGATGTACTTTGATAACATAACAAAATAGCATATTATATAAAGAAGAAAGAATAAAAATACAATAAAATGTTCTCAAGAATAAGTTGATAAACATTTTCAAATTTGTTACATATTCGTCTTATATTTAAATATTTTAGATATAAGGAATGTCTGATTACATAAAATTAATATTCTGCTTACCTTTAGTAATTCTTTGATTATCTAGATTTTCAATATATTACTATTCACCTTAGCTATATGAAATAAATTGTAGAAACATATATGTTATATATTTATATTTTCAAACTTCTCGTGATCATTAATATTGTTAATTTTATTTATATCTTAAGTTAGTATTTAATGTATTTCGTTTCTAATACTGTACCACGTATCAAAAAATTATTCAACTATAATTTCATATAATAGTTTCGTATAATTTCTATTAAGTGCTATATGATTGTTATAACAGTTTAATTGTATATTTCTATTCATTATTTTAAATATTCATTATTTATATGCTCTTATTGATAAACTAATTTGGGAAATAATTAGTTCTATTAGTGAATACTCCAATTTATATTAAAACTTTTTATGTAAAATGTTTCGTTAATGAGAACATTACCAAATCTTTTATAATCGCTATATTTTTATTTACCAAACCAAGTATGGTAAGATACTAATTATATATTCCATATCTTTTAATTTATAATTTATATATTTTTCGTATTTTATTTTATTAGTAGTGTTTATTAGTATTTAAAATCTCAAGTTACATTATTATTTACATATGTTTGTAATAACTAAACTCTAATAATGAATCTTATTAATAACATTAATATTTTATTAATTAATAGTGGTGATTTTATGAGTATCCCTAAATAAAGCATAGCGTAAGTCTTTATAGGTTTATATGTGAAATTAAGTTGTATATATATATATATATATCAGTTAATGATTAATTTAAATCTAAAAATCTTTTTGAATATTAATATTGAATTTTATTTTATCTTAAATGAATTAAACTATATTGTATTCCAAAATAATAAATATACTATTTTCATATATAAATACAAATTTTAATTTATGTATAATTTTTAATCCAAATTATATAAAATATATATAATAAATAATGTATTATATACTTTCATTTAAAATTAATTTTAATTAATCTCTTATAAATGATTATGACTTTACTATTATGATTATTATGATGTTACTATTCAAAAGATACTTTCAATTATCTTTTACATACAAAATTGTAGTAACGATTTTTAAAAAATATATATATATATATAAAGTTTTTGTTATTTTTTATTAAATTTATTATTAAAATTTATTGTTTTACATAAGTGAAGTGCAGATGTAGTGTAACCAACAACTTAGCATCAAATATAAATATATGTCTAGTAATATTATTGATATAGGTATAAAAAAGTAGTCACTATTTTTTCTGTATAAGCACACATCTTGATGAACTATCGTTCAATAAAATTCTAAATTTGATTGATATATAGTTCCAGGATCATACTATTTCTTCTTTTAAACTATCAAAAATTTCCAAATTTCTGTCATAATATCAACAGCAATGAACATTTTCTTGAAATTTTTTGGGAAAATATTATAAATAATATCGTAATATCATATGATAACATGAAGAATATCCCTCGGGTCAAAGATTATATAGTTTTAATTTCGTAATAACATTTTTGTAGAATTCTTACAAGTTACTTAATCATATATACCAGCATTTTACTCATTTTGTAATATTTTAATTAGAAAAAAATTACTACGTAATATATCAGTCTAAAATATTTCTTTCTACTATAAATATTATGTTATGTAAATTATATTAACTGTATCTGATATACAAATGGCAATTTAACCAATTTAAATAATACGCGTTTATTTATTCATTCAACTCTAAATTTTTATTTCTTTGAAAATGTATTTAGAACTATTTTCCTTCAAGCTATTTCATTGAATAAATACTTACTATAATTTATATTATGTTAAATTGTGTATTAAATATTTAATACTGTATTAAAAAAGTCCAATATTTTTTTCCATGAGTTTTAGATAAAGTATATTAGGAAAGTATCTTTTGAATTGTTATCATTGACCTATATCTATTTATTTATATTAATAATTCCATTTTGTATATTGCTTCGTTTATTTATCATATTTTGTGTATTTGTTTAGAATTAAACTAAAGACCATAAGGTGTTATGTGGGAGAGATGTGCGGGAAAGTGGAAGGGATAGCGTTTTAATTTAATATTTCACACATCTGTTTTTTGTGTTGTTTATTCTGTTCAATTTCCAAATACAGAAATGATTCTTGTTGATGAAGACAATAGTTGAACTCTTGTAGTTTCGTGGCGTTTGACACGTTGTGTTAGCATGCACTGCATGCGGAGGTAGGAGGTTGTAAATCTACGGATCCATTGTGAGGTATTGCGATTAGTGCTAGATTTTACCCTGAGCAGTGAGAGATTGTAAATCTCTAGTACTTCTTCGAGTAGTGACACGTGGTGGTGAATCTGAAACTACTTCTGAAACTGACTCTGCAGTAGTAGACTTACAGAGCATGTGCGCTAAATGGCGCATAGCGTGAGCTTGTCTGTGTATGCTTTGTGAGCTTGGGGTATGAGCGTCTCTAGGTCAATTCTGCAGTAGTGGATCTGCAGCGTGTGCGCTAAATAGCGTGTATTGTTAGTTTGTTAGTATAAGGTTTGCATGTACCTTTCGTAGCGGCCTTGATCCGTGAAATATGCTTATTAATACTAGATCTTGGAGGGATCTTGGTTTGAAGTTGGTGGCTATGGCGCCTTTGAGTTGTGATGCGGTTGCAACGAAGACTTGACTTTGGACTCTGCTGAGGGAGCTTCCTTACTCCTTCTTCCTTCTTCCTTAAGGACTTCAACTTGAGATCAAGAGGTTGTCCTCCGTGGCGTCTCTCGTAAGAGAGAGTGCGTCTTTCATGGCTTCAGTTAAGACAGACCGTCTTCTGTGGCGTCCCCCGTAAAA